GGACAAACCCCAAACCACACCCCAAAACCCCCCCCCCCCCCCCCCCCCCCCCCGTCCCGCGCCGCACCCCCCTCGCCACCATGAGCCGCGGCAGCAGCGCCGGCTATGACCGCCACATCACGATCTTCTCGCCGGAGGGCCGTCTCTTCCAAGTCGAGTACGCCTTCAAAGCGGTCAAGGGGCCCGGCATCACCGCGATCGCGGTGCGCGGCAAGGACAGCGTGTGCGCCGTCACGCAGAAGAAGGTGCCCGACAAGCTCATCGACCCCTCCTCCGTGTCGTCGGCCTTCCGCCTCTCGGAGAACCACGGCTGCATCGCGACGGGCATCATCACCGACGCCAAGGCCATGGTCCAGCGCACCCGATCGGAGGCCGCCGAATTTAAGTTTAACTACGCCTACGAGATCCCCGTCGAGTACCTGGCCAGGCGCGTCGCCGACGAGAACCAGATCTACACCCAGCACGCGTACATGCGGCCCCTCGGCGTGTCCCTCACCATCATTGGTATGGATGAGGAGGAGGGGCCCGCGCTGTATAAGTGCGATCCAGCGGGGCATTACGTCGGCTATCGCGCTTGCGCGGCCGGCGCGAAGGAACAGGAGGCCCTCAATTTCTTACAGAACAAGTTCAAGAGCGGCGATGGCTCCATCGGCGTGGAGTTGTCAGAGAAAGATACCATCCAGACGACGATTGCAGCGTTGCAGAATGTACTGTCGGCCGACTTCAAACCAGAGGAAATCGAGGTCGCCGTCGTGTCGAAGAGCAATCCAAAGTTTCACCTGCTCGAAGCAAAGGAAATTGAGGACCACCTGACCGCTCTGGCAGAAAGAGACTAACCAGACTCAGTTTTTGACGTAGCCCGCGTTACCAAAGATGAAGCGCGGTCCATCTCGGTGTAAAGAAAAGTTGGATTTGCACCTTGTTTGCGTACGCGACAACCTTGAATGGGCGTCTTAACTCGTTGCGTTTTTATACAATTTTCCTCCCAAACTGTTCGCCTTCATACGCAGGACTCGACCTCAATACAGATGCGTTCCCCGTGACCGTCATGTCGGCGGCGGCTCCTTCCCCTTTTCTCTTTGCTTAACGCGACTACTAAGCTTTCTCCTAAACGCCTTCAAATCCTCATATGCCGCTTTGGGTGGCTCTGGCGCCGCCATTTGAATAACGCCCATGGCCCCGCCCGGCAAACCCGCACTAGCAATAGACTCTGCGCGCTCCTCCGGGGCGCCCGCGAAGAACTGGCGCCCCGACGAAAACGTATTCGTGCTCGCCTCCGACGGCAGACGCGACCCATCCCTTGGGGCCGATGCGCCGGCTCTCTGCCTCCCCTGTGCGCGTGCGCCCTGTTCCCCCTCCGCGCCCGCCGCCACGGCCTCTGAAATATCGGACACGGCGCCCGACAGCCCGCCGACGGCAATGCGCTTGAGCAGATAGGTCGCCAGCTCGCGGAAGGCCTCGTCTATGACCACGCCGCGCTCCCGTGCCTGCACGAATATGGCCTCGTGCATGGGCTCCTGCGCCCC